GGGAATTCTGGGAGTTGGTCCACTCATCTTAAAGTGGCCAAGTTTGGACAACACTGCCTTAGTCTCCGAGGTTGAGAAAGTTCTAACTGCAGGATCCATTTTCCAGTCATGCTCAGCAAACTGTCCACCAAGTCTTTTCCCTTGAAATATAAGGCTGTTTTCCAGCAATGTATTTTTTTTTTCTTTAAGTGTGCATTAACATCAGTAATGCCTTTTAAAATCATGAAGCAATATTAATTTGGGTCTCAAGCCATTCAAGAATTGTAGCTCTGGGAAGAGGAAAGAAAAACATGTTATGATGCATCTGTTGTACTGTATAAATTTACTTTGACTACATCCAGAACATTTCCACCTGAGAGCTGTGATTGTCAGTCCCGTTTCAGCTTCTCGGCTTTCTGATCCTGAATAAACAGAGCAAATGCCCTGCTTGGACACGCTGTAGTCAAACCAAATATTTAAAAAAGTGTGTGGTTTTACACGTTTGGTATTTTGAGCAATGCTTCAGAGGCAAACTTCTGCACCATTTTCATTGTAGCTTTGGCGCTTTTAAATAGTTCAATTATTTGTATAGCTTAAAAGTGCAGTTTAAGAAACTCAAAATGAACGTTAAAATAGCTTTGTCCAATGAAAAACCTGTAGAATGATTAAGCATAAAAAGAAGCCTAAAACAGACAAAGTTATGAGCTCAAAACTCTTTTTTAAAAAGGATCTTTAAATGATGCAAAAAGATGGCAAACATACAATGAGAACCAGTCTCTTTGATGAGAACAGTCCCACAGGCAGGAGGCTAATAAAGCAGGCAGAATGATCCTCAAAACAGGAAACAGGGCAGTGGCTATATGCATATAACCTGTTTGCTGTTACGTTCACAAAGTTGAGACCATAACATTTGTCATATTCTTCACTGTGTGGCTGAAAACAATCATCACTTTCAGGCGTCCACAATGATAAATGTATGGAACTTTGGAAAACAGTATTTCCAAAGAGAATTCAGTTATTGAGCTAAGTAAATCCAGAAAACTTTACTCTTGTAACAGTTGAGTGTGTAGTGTATCCAAATGCTGAGTAGTTTGCTTTTATATTTTAATGATTTGCACTACCCAATTAAGTACGTAAATCAACATAGTATACTTTTCAGCCCAAAAGTTGTTAGGAGCAAATGTACACAAAAGAAAAACTTCTTACAAAGCGTTTTCTCTTTGTGGAAATTGCTAATAAAATAAGTGTGAAAATTGTGTGCAGAGTAATATATATTAGGAGAAAAGTGCATGAAAATGAATTCGTGTTTTCCTAACAGTTTCTTTACAGAATTGCAAATTGATGCAGACTCAGAATAAAACAATTTTAAGATTTGAAAATTGAGATTTGAGAAAAATCTTTTTTTTTTCAGATTGTTTTCCCTATACCTAATCAAAAGTATTTCAGTAACAGCTCCTTAAAACATAAAGGGTAATGAATTTAGAAACATCGACTGTAGTGTGCAGTTTGCACAGAGCTCTGTGAATGAACTACTTCACATATTGCGTGGTAGAAAAGTAGCAAACTTGCTAATTAGGTAGTTCTGTGCTGCTACTCCTATTTTCTGGCATTTTGTGGGGACACTACTTGCAACATTTGTGAAATAGGTATTGGAATCTTCTCTTTAAAAAGAAAAAATGAAGAATGATATTAATCCATCCTCCCCAACTGGGTATCCTACAGGCAAGTAGGTGATAGGAACCCTGGATCCAGCCAGGCGTTTGGACCATCTTTTTAGTTTTCTGTTGCTTTTGCTAATTAAAGATTCCATAGTTCTTTTTTCTAACAAACAAAACTGGTTAGTAGCCTGTAGCATACCAAATTAAGTGCAGATATTCACAGATTGATGCAAATACAGAGGGTACATCCTGGTTTCCCATTATTAAACTTTATTTTTAGTTGCGGTCTATAGTTATGACTGGAAAATGAGTTCATGTGGTACCAAACACAAAGAAGATATTTGGATTAGGGACCCCGGCTTCTAAAAAATTAGTACCTTATATTTATTCATTTAAATATTGATGTCTTACTCTTTAGGTTAATTTCCTTATAAGCAGGGGAGATGGAAATAAAGGAAGCAAGTTTTTTTCCCAATCCATAAGACGATGCGTCCAAAGTAATAGTTTTGGTGATTCTCTAAGTGTCCTTTGGCATCTTAAAAAAAGAAGTCACTAATATCAAAGTGACTAAACCATAACTATGTAGGGATTCCTACACTGGCCAGTCCATTGCAGTCTTTTGTATAGGTGTGTCACTCCCCCAATTGCAGACATTTCCAGGGTTTGTAACCATGGGATTCTGAGCTCAGAATTATGACGTCAGCAATAGAATGATGAACAGAATAAAGTAGAGTGGCTGAGCCAAGTGGTACCATTGCTTAAACGCGTGTGATCAAAATCAGTGGCATCGCTCGTGACAGATGAGTATTCCCATTCATTTTTGGCTTTATTGAACAGCAATAGCAAAGGCAAACATTCGGTAATTAACGTTCAACGTATCTTGTCAGGTTGACTTTGCTAATCGCTTTGTTGGAGGTGGTGTCACTGGTGCAGGACTGGTGCAAGAAGAAATCCGCTTCTTAATCAATCCAGAATTGATTGTCTCTCGTCTCATTACGGAAGTCCTGGATCACAACGAGTGTCTGATAATCACAGGTTAGTAACTCTCACTTGAGAAACATTCCTGTAGATTCCACAAACTCACTGTGATTCATACATGCACTGGTAAAGAAAGTGATGCAAGGTTGCCCACGCTCTAGGATTGAAATTATTCAATGAGATCTGGAAAATAGAATAGCCTTTGCTATGGTGGGTTCTGCTAAGAAAGAATGACCTCATCTATTATTTTTCTACAATGTAGAGTTCCTTAGTCTTCACATATTTTTTCTGATTTTATAGCTAAATAGCTTTTACTGTCCACAGTCAAAGAAACATTAACAAGAGCAGTAATGTAGGTTCAGAGTTCTCTCTGAGGATGTTGGTGCTATTATTTTCCTTATTTTCTTCTCATTCTTAGTTTGGCTCTCATTCTTGGTAATTTATAGAATTCCTGGTAATTCTGTAAAAGGTTTCTTGGGAATGGTTGGATCCCTGAGGTCACTGGAAATCTTTGCCCATGTGACAGTTGGCTATTTAAGACAGAAACCAAGAGAAGTCACCTTTTCTGCAAGATTTAGCCTTCGTTAAAACTGTCAGGTCAATTCACGAGTCCTAAAAGAGAGATTCTCTTATTGGCTGGGCAGAAGTTGATAGCTTATCCTGAATGATGAAGGAAGCTGATGGTTTCTCAGTGTATAAGAACAGAGTAGCAATTTCTAGCAGCACCATTCCGTTAGTATTTTGCAGCTTTCAGTTTCTAATGCATATGGTGATTTAATTTTGAAAATCGATTTAGGAAATGGAATCTCATTTCCAAACCTTTGGCAGGGCCCTATGGTCTTCAGAAGAGGCTGAGTATATCCCAGGGATTTTCCCTGTGTGAGCTATTGAACAAGAAATATGACAATCTTTCAAAACACTCTAGAGGTTACTTAAGTGGATTCCTGGCTCTGTGGTTTATGCAAGAAATTCTGCAGAAAGATGTTCTCAGTAAAAGCTAAATAACTCTCACATAGATGCTTCGGTCTGATCAGAAAATAAATTCAGTTTTTAAAGAGCGGTGGTGCTGGAGGTTTGCAAATTAGTGGCAAGAAGTAAATAGAAAATGGAAAACAGAAATGAACCAGTTGCATTTAACGTTGATTTGAAGGTACTATTAATAGGGAGAGGGATAAGACGAATGAACCAATTGCCTTAGGTTGGTTTAAAGTGCTGCTTAAATGTAAATAAAATTGATAGGCTTTACAGGATCCAAAAGACAATGATTGTGTGTGTGTGTGTGTGTGTGTGAGAAAGAGAGAATATTTTATAATTATAATTTTAGCATTAATCTGTACGAAGGATCTTCCCAATATTAGAAGGTGACAGTGAAGTTAGTTATAGCTGAGGTAACTAAAACAGGGAGTAACTAAAGAATAGTCTGAGTCTTGTGATCTTCATGAATTGTTTGCTGTATGTTGGTATTCTTGGCATATTGTGAGCTGAAGATCCTGAAAACCTTGATGGAAAAAGATAAAATTTCTTCTGTGTAAATCAAGCATTTTTAGGCTCTTGCATCCAAAACTTGGAGCTTCTGCATCTAAGATGCAGACCAAAGTAAAATTCTTTTTCAAAGCACTTTAGTTTTTACTGTGCTTTCTAATTAATATCCGTGATGTAACATTCTACTCTCTTAATGGAAAGCACCATTTCATCTTCTTCATTTGATCTTCGGCTTGCTTCCATCTCTCTCTGTGCTCAAGCGAGTTTCTGCTGTGTGTAGCTATCCGTCTGATAGATTACATTTTTTCAATGATGCATCTTGACTCAGTGGCCTAATGGATATGACTGTGCTGCTGAAATTTGCAGAAGAGACTGAGAAATTGGAAATAAATTAGATTTGTTGCAATTGACCAGCATCTGCTTGAGATCATCACAGTAACAAATATGAAACCAGTCATGCAAAAAACACAAATAGATATCTTTCCTAACCTTACCGATGAGTCAAAGGAACCTTAGGGTCAAATAATTGTATTCTGAGATGTTGGTTGCTTTGATAGCTGTGTAGAGTAAGAAAATTAATTATAAAACCAAGTGCTTCTTTTACATAGCTCTAAAATTGGAAATTAATACAGTGTACATCTTTTATGAATATGTTGGGTTTCTAGTGGGTCCTTTCCTATGCAGAGTCATCCTGGAGCAGTTGGAAAGCTTGAGAAAATGTTGCCTGCTTTAACAGCTCAAAAAGAGAGGTACCCTGTATGTCTTTCTGAACATTTCCAAAGACCCCTTTCAAGCAATTTGTGAGCCAATGCATAAGATCCAAGTGCTCTTCCCAGGGTGCAGGAAGAGAAGCTCAGTCTAGAAGGCTTAAGATTACAACTCCCAACATTTCCAGCTGACATGGCCCAGGGCACGAAGAGCTGAAATTTGCCACGGGAGCCATGCAACAGGAAACAATAAGCTAATGTGATATGAATACTCAGCTGTGTAGAAAACAGAATGCTGTCTGTGCCCTTGTGGTATTTTTCCCACCTCATTCCTCACCTTTGGCTTTCAGTCAACATTGGCTGTACCAAATCATAAGCTCTTAAGGGTTCAAAAATGTGCACCAATTAAAGATGCTGGAATTTTTGTTGTTTGACTTACTGTAAACGACATACTGTAGCTAATGAACTGCTTGGTGATGAATCCTTTATGCTCTGGAAGATGGAAGCGACAAGAGAACAAAAAGAAAGGTTCAGTGCACTGTGCAAAGTCTTTGGCCAGTTTCTTGTACAGCAGGGGTGTCTACAAGGTATGGCCCAAAAAATAAAGATGGCGGCCATGATGGTGCAGTCAGAGCTCTGCGGTCCTCCAAAGACTTAAAGTGGGTGTATTTGTACATGTATTGCTTTGCTTAGTGTATTGTCGTTGGCTGTTTCCCAGCTCTATTGTCATCTTTAGACCCTGCTGAGCCTTCATGAGGATGCTGAAAGTAGGGCAAACTGTGGTGTGGGTTTAGAACTTTGGAGTAGGAACCATTATACAGCAGAAGTAGAATAGGAGCAGGAATAGGAAGAAATGGCAACTAGTGCATACTTGTGGACAGTTGCTACTTTCCACCTCACGCGTTATCAAATATTTTGGAATAGAGTCCTTCTTTCATGCTTCATATATTTATTACAGCAAACATCAAATGCTCCCAAGAAGAAGAGATAAAGGAAAAATATCAAATTAGTTGCAAAACACGTTTCAGTAGAAGTAAATTAATTATCTTAACAAATGGGCCATGCTTCCCAGTTATTTCTGCAGTGGTGTGAACTTCCTTTTGTTGCATAGTCCTGATAAACGCAAATATTTAGCGTGGGGGCAGCATTTAGCTTTGATTCAGAACTTCAGCGATTTGGTCTTACTGGACTTCTAGTGATGTGGTGTTCAAAATTGGAGACCACTTGCTTCCTAAGTAGTATGGAAGGGAGGGAAATTGCTGATTATTCTGAGCTCACCCACGTATTACACCTGGAGGTAGTACTACCTATTCTGGCCTTCTTGAAAAATCCAGCCTGACAGTTCTTACTTCAACAAGGAATTCAGTGAATTGCAGTAATGCTAACCCAACACTTTTCTCATGTTTCTCCAATCCCTTACACTAGAATTTTTGAAACATGTTTTATTCCATCTGGATCTTGCCAGTTTCATTTGCCATGAAAAAATGTTCAGATTATATTTTCAGTATCCAGCCCCAGTAAGACTGGAGGTTGATGAGGATGGGGTTTGGCAACTTGTTCAACATTTAGAATACGCTACATTTCCTGGGGAGAGAGGAGGGATCCCTTCTGCATTGATTTTTCTGGTCTTCTGTGCTTCCCTTTTTTAATAAGCCACCTGTGTTACTTTGGGCTTAATCATTCTTCTCCTTCTGCCCCATTGCTGGCCTATGAAAACTGGTAAAAGCTAGACAGGTATTCAGAAGGTGAATATTTCCAGACAAGAAAGTAAAACGCTCAGCTGAAAATGGGTCCTTTAACGTCATGATTTTTTTCAGGGACTGAGCAATACAGCGAATATACTGGCTATGCAGAAACTTACCAGTGGGCCAGAAGCCATGAAGATGATACGCCCAGGTAAAATTCTGATGCTCCAAGTTACCTTTAAATGCTTGGATTGATATTGGCATAATTTCTGGGAGATCTGCAACAGAAAGTATGTATTCTTCAGAAATCCAGGCCATCGTTCCTTCCAAGAAGGACACCTCCATCTTCCACCTTTCATTTTGCTATTCCCTCTGTTGCACCTCATTCTGTATCTACTAAGTTTGCTCACTGTTCTTTGGGCTCTTTTTGTCTCTCTTTTTTAAAAAACAACAACATTTCCTTAAAATCCCAGTTACACTAAAAGCCTCTCTGTTGTTTTTTGTGACCCTATTTTGGTTCACTGAACTTGAGAATGGGAGGAGTGATCATCAGGATTCGGTTTTGTTCCGTAATTCCCCAACTGCCTGAGTTTTGAGCTTCGGTTGTCACATCTTTATGTGAAAGAGCTCAAGAACCATTAAAATGGTTGGGAGGACCTTGGGGCACATCTGACGTCTGCTTGAAGAGCTCGGAGAGATGCAGTCAGCCTTTAAGAATAACGAACAGGGCAGAGAAAGAAAGGGCAGAGTTAACAAGCTGAGGGGTTGTATAATGGAGGGAATTTGGTTTTGCCTTTGAAAAACAAATTGAGAAATAGTCTTTAGCTGATGAATTCTGTGTGTTTTTGGACTTCTAGGTATTTATTTTAATTTAGCTTTACTATATTACATTACACTAGTCGACAAAAAAATGTAGCAGCATTAAAGGATCAACACACAGTAGCGTTAATGGAGCATTATGGATCAATGGAGCCTGAAAAATCAAGCAAGAGGAAAGGACAATTAAAGGCTTGGAAATTATGTTAAAAGCTGAACAGCTACAAAATCTTCAACTAGATTGCTCAAAAGTCTTCTTTCTTATCTGTTTGTTGAAAGAAAATTAACTGTCGACAAATAGCATATATGAAAAATTCACTGCTGCACATCTCATCTAAATTTCTCTTCCCCATGTTGTATAATCATTCTTTTCATTGACCTCCATGTTCTCCAAATGCACAGTTTATATTTTGATAGGTTCCTGATACTGAGGATATAGCCAAGAAGAACATATATGCCTTTAACAGATTTTTTAAATCTTAATAGTTAGTTTTCATACTTGTAAAGAAGTCTGACCTCCCACTTGAACTGTTTCCGTAATAACTGCTAGGGGTTTTTTTCCCCTGCAAATGCAAATCAGGAATTTGGGAAGGAATAGTGGCAAAGATTTTGTGATAGTCAGTCATGCCCTATATTTCTTAGAAAGATCCAAAGGATGGACCAAGACTTGTTAATTCCACCTGATAATTACAACTGCAGTGTAAAGCAAAGAAAAGCTAAAGAAAAAAAAGAATTATTCTTTAAATGTTCACATTACATTCCCATTACTGTGATAGCTCAGATAGCAACATTTTTTTTAAAAATGCAGGGAGGGTGACAATCCTTTGCAAAACAATAAAATCAATGCTAGACTTTCTCAACTGTGTGCCAGTTCTGACATTCCTGCCCTGAAATACATGTAGGATAGAAAACCTCTTGCCTTCTCCCCTCTCATCTGCCTTCTCCAGTTTTGGTACAGGTTATTGGTAATCTAGTTGAACATTGCCTTTGCCTAATACTTGTCTCTGTGCTTTGGGGCTTCAGTGAATCCCTTGAGAGATGAACACAAGTCCATCTTGTTTATGTGACCAATCTTACCAGTTAACATTACAACATTTTTCCTCTCTCTCTCCTCCTCTCTCTCTTTCCCTTTTGCCAGGGATGAATGGCAGAGACGCTGCACAGAAATTGTGGCTATAGATGCGTTTCATTTCAGGCGTTTCCTTGATCAGTTCACTCCAGAGAAAATTAGAAGAGAGCTGAACAAGGCCAGTAACTTCTCAATCCCTCTTGCCCTCTCGTTTATTTGCAGCTGTGTCCTTAATGTTGGATTGACACTGGAGTATTTGGGGCCACGTCACCAGTTCCTGGGAGAGAGACTTGCTCCTTAAATTCACTATCAGTTCGCCCAAAAGGCTAAACAAAAGATTAAAATGAGTTGGCCAGTTTCAATCTAGCCAATCTATTTCTCTTTTGAAATAATACTTTGTTAAAGGAAAGAATGGTTTTATTTTTTTTTTAAGCTTAATTTGTCTACAAAGCATGGTGAAGCAGTTAGGTTTATTAAACTGTTCAGCAACTTGTTGTCCTGATTTCTTTCTCTAGATCACTAGTTAAAAAAATAAATACCACTTAGATGTTTAAAAGAGGGTGGGTTTCGTTTTGTGGGTTTTCCATGCAAAATACATTTGTGAACTTCTGTTCAAGAATAGGTGGAGGCTGACACATTTTTCCCGCCGTATTTATAGTGGGGAAAACCATCTAGAGATATTTAATAATTGGGAAAGACCCTGCATGCAAGAATCTTGGTGATTTTTATATTTTAACTTGGGTAGAATATCGCATGAATCTCTGTCCTGTAATCTCCAACATAATAATTATGCTTCTTGGATTTTTTTTCTTTCTTCTTTTGCATTTTCTCCCAATGTACAGAACACTTTTCATGCACGTTATTAAATTTCCACACTTTTTAAGAAGTCTGGAGGATGAGGAGAAAGTTGGTAGTCATGTACAGTACCTTCAATTTTCATTGCCTCACCTCTAGGACTGGGCCCACACATTGAAAACTGATGCTCTAATCCAGTGTACAATTTTAGCTGGCCAGGCTTTGGGTGGCATTGATCTATTGATAGTGAATGTGTAGGGTAGCATGGAGCAGGTCTGGGGACTTGCAGTCCAGCCCCATTGTCCCACCCCAACCTCTTTGTATTGATAGAAAGAACTGCAAGAAAATGGTAAGTCTTTTCTTCACTGATACAAGGATACAAGTCTTGAATCCATTCTAACAACATTCACTTATTCATAAATTCAGGGGTGCTTAAAAGTTTGTGAACCCTTTTCAATTTTCAATATTTCTTCATAAATATGACCTAAAACGTGATCTGTTTTCCACACAAGTCCTAAAGCTAGATAAAAAGAACCCTTAAATAAATGAGTCAGAAACATTATACTTGTTCATTCGCTTATTGAAGACGATGATCCAAAGCTACGTGTTAATATATGGCAAATATTTCTTTTTTGCCATGGTCAGTCAATTTCATTTTCAGTTTAGTTTTATTTTTTAAATTTTATTTCATCATGTTTATGGTTTGGGTAATAGTAAAATCTTCCCCTTCCCCAAAATAGGCTGCAGAGTTGTTTTTTTCATGTCTGATCTATTTTTCAGGGTTGTGACTCCTTCTATTGTTGACAAGAAAACTTTGCAACCTTTTCTCTCTTTTTAAAAAAAAACAAATGGAAGAGTGAGGCAGTGTTCCAAATTAGGTGGGCTGAAGGCCCTTTTTGTGTTTAAACTTCGGCTTAATAGGTAAAAAAAGATAAAAACACCCTTAAGTCTAGTTCAGCTCCTAGGGACTATATAGACACAACCTTTCAGTTTTCTTGGCAATAGGGTAAACGTGTTTTGCTACTGTTTTCTTCCGGGACTTTTTTTGCATTTAAATTTCTCAGTCAGATTTTCAGCCCTGAGTATTCCTGGTGATATTCCATCCCAATGCTAACCAATCTGGCTCTGTGTAGCTTCTGAGCCCAATCAAAGCCAGCCAGGTATTCTTGCCTGCTAAAGCTCTTCATGGTAGCAGGCTGGAGTTTCCCATTTTGCTCCTTAAACCCCCTCCTTAAAGTGGGCTTAAAGGTTGTAGTGGGTGTTGCAACCTGGGGCAGGACCGAAGGAAGGTATTTTGCCCCTTAACCTCTCTTGGTAAAAGGGGGTCTAAAAATGCTAGGCCTGTGTATTCTGGTAGCTCCATGACTACAGTTGGGGAATCCCTGACCTAGAGCATTGGTGGTGAGTACACATATTCAGCACCAAAGAAACCACAGCTTAAAAAAAAATAAATTCTGGTGAACTGTACTTACCTAAGGGTGGAAATACTGAATGTCCTAAGATGCAGAAAATATTCAGAGGCTCAATAATCTTTGGAACCGGAAAGATTAGTGGCACGAATTGGAAATGCAAAGGCTTCAAGCTTGTGGGAATGGGGGAAAGAAAAGATTCGGGTCTTCTGTTGGCAGTAGGAGTAAACTTAGTAGCCATGAAGAAGACATAGAGAAAGGAGAGACCGCCGGCTTGCTGGTTTGCTGGATTGGAGTTCTAGGCCGCTCCAAATCACAAATCCCAACATCTGTAAGTTGGATTAAAAACAGCAATCCAACGAAAAAGGAAAGCCCATCAACCCCATTATAAGCAACATGAATAGCATCCCTTATCATAGGCACGTGAAAAACCAACATTGCAAGGGACTGTGAGCTTCTTCTCTGCCCGCAGGCTTACTGTGGTTTCTCTCGGCCTGGTGTCCCTCCACATCATCTTCCAGCGGTTGCGACAGGAAACTGGGGCTGTGGTGCTTTTGGAGGTGATTCGAGACTGAAAGGTAAACATTACTCTCCTTGCAGTTAAATCTTAGTTTTTTTGTTGGTACTGGTTGTTGTTACCAATTGCTGCTTCTACAGCTTCAGGCAAGAGTGATTAAGAGCAAGAAGGGGACGGGAGCAGGGTGAAGGTTGAGATAAAGTTCCTTCTTCTGGGCTGCAAAACTTGAGCTTCTAGCAGAAGACTGGATGGGAGGAAGGACTCAGAGAGAGGGTCATTTCCCCATGCAGCAGTAAGGGGAGGTTTGGTAGGACCTGTCTACCGTAGGGTGTCTAGACCTTCAGAGGCTTCAGGACAGCTGATGGCCCCATTACAGACTGTTGTAGAATTCTGTGTGAGCACTTATTGTTCAGAAATGAGCATCACCAAACTGCAGGTGCACCTGACCAAAACAGCAGCTGAACTGTCTGATGGATCCATAAAATCAGGATTGAACTGTTAGCATCTAACAGCTTATTTTCTCCAGCTGCAGTTTTCCATGTTTGTGCCTCTTAGTCCATATAAATCAATTTCATTTTGCAGTCCTCTGGTATTCTGTCCTCATTACACTATCGCAAGTACAGGAAGTGAATTGCTTCTTTCTTAGCAGTGGGTCATCTTACTGTCGCCAATGTCGCTGCTTAAAAAATCTCATGTCTTCTAGATGAGGGGTTCTCATGAAAACTGAGTTACAGAAGCTGCAGCAAATTCATAGCCTGCGTCATAGCTTGATTAAAACTGCCATTCTTGCTGGAAATTGATCTCTGGTGTCACGAGGGTCATCAGTGATTCAGTTGTGGGCTCCCCAAAGCCCTTTGATTAAAGATGGTGGTACTTTCTTGCATTTATCTGTGTAAACTGTATCTCTCCAAGCATTTTTTTTAATGCAATATAAGGTTCGCTGTCTTGGTAAAATCTACAACTTCTAGTAAATAAAGAAGTGAAAATATTCACTTTTTCAAGGTTTGTCTGTAGAAACATCAACTGTTCTACAGAGAAATATCTAGAAACAGATAAGGTAATTGTCACCCTTACCCTCTTCCTCTTCCTCTTCCTCTTCCTCTCCTCCTTCCAGTTAAAGCCATGCTAATTTGAACTGAAATCCTAGGTAACTCTAATGTGCAAGCGATCTTCTAAGTTCATATCCTTCCAGAAAATCTAAAGCAATTCACAGCAAACACTAATGGCGCATTAGAGAGTAAAGCTCTCCAGCACTTTGGATTCAAAGGAGAAACGTGCTGTGGAGCATGAGTTGGCACCCATGTGCCACCTGCCAAGCACTCCTTAAATCGAACCTGTCTTCTCCTGGGATAGTGCTGTGGTTGCTCAGGGCAGCTACCCAGTCCTGTGGGAAAATGCCATTGCTTTAAGGAGTCACAGGGAGGAACTGTGCGCACCCTGAAGCACCTCTTTGCTTTCAAATCCAAGGTGCTGCGAAGCCCAGTTAGGGAGTGGAACGCCAATGGACCCGGATGCTTCCAGTTCCACAGGACTGGGTGCAGGGATCTTGCCTCCATGCCTGTTTACTTTAATACTGTGTTGCCCATAAAGAAAGGAACGGTGTTGAGAACCTATGGGAATGTGGCTTGATTTTCCTTTACAGAATGAGGTGGTCCATTCTTCCCTAGATAGGGAAGGCAGTAAAACGCTTTGAGGGGGGAAAAATGAGATTAAAGTTGACATAGATGACTAAGATTCCATTGTATTCCATATCTAAGCAGGTTGCTTGTCCTTTTAGCTGCGTCCTGTATTAACTGTTAATCTCTCTGTAAGGATGAAAATGCTTTGCAGTGCAGTGAAAGAGCAGTGTGGCACTCACTCACTGTGCAATTAGGATGCTCGCACTGTAAACTTGTTTGCCTTGTACTTGTTACATCACATTGGGCAGGCATGTGTACCAGGTAGGAACCCTGTCTTGTGCAATGTGGTTCAGTGACAAAATGTCTATCCTAGAAATCCTAATTTTTTTGAGTCAGAGAGCCTCTTGACAGCCTAGCTAAAAGATAAGCCTTCAGTGTTGTTGAATTCCAGCTTCTGTGTTCCCAGGAAGAGCGCATGTTGCCCACTCCTCACCTAGATAACACCTCTTGAAGGTAGTAGCCATTTCTCATTGCTTGGAGCTTCAGAAGCACCTCAGTGCATGTCACCTTTTGTGAAAGCACCACTTTGGATGAAAAAGGCGCTTGTCTTCCTCCTCCTGCGTTGACTTATGTTTTGTATTCATTTGCTTCAGCCTTAATACAAATCTTAGCAGCTGCCGAGGCTGGACGAGATGTGGTTTATTTCACTTTTGGAGATGCTGAGTTGATGAGAGACATTTACAACATGCATACTTTTCTGATCGAGAGGGGCCAAGTGGTCGGTATGTACCATCTCCCTCCCTTCCCTTTGGAAACACTGCTGACAAATGCGGGAGGGGCAGTGCTGCTATTTTATTAACGCCCTAAGCCAAAGAAAACTTCTTGGAGAAATAAAAGAGCTGAGCTGGTGTTGACAAGTCAGTCCTGGGGAAAACTGACTAAACCGAGGTAACATGCTTTCCGTGAGAATAAAAGCTGAAGTCCGTGGATCTTATAGATCATCGTGTGCAACCAGAAGCTCTGGCTGCGTGCAGTCTCAAAAGTCCTGGATGGTAGTCTCCAACCCCCTCCAGAAATGCCTCCTCAGCTGTAATTTTTAATGGGGAGTTGTGTTTTTATCTGGGCAGTTACGTGGCATACAATATATGTATTAGACCTGTTGTATACCACCCAGAATCTTATTCAAGTGGGGCAGCTTTAATGAATCCAATAAAGAAAATAAAAAATGTGGCAGGTGGGTTAGGGTTGTATGATGACCTTTGTAAAGAACCCATTCTCCTGCCTTTTGAGATTCGGCTTACCCTGAATCATTCACACATTGTGTTATGGCTCAGCCACAGGGGAGCACAATAACACCCTTGGCTGTTAACTCTCTGTTTCAAGGAGCAACCGATAGATGGGAATTGGCTCCTTCTCATAGCTAAGCTGCACGGTGCTCAGCTGAGTACATGAAGTAGCCATTCCCGGCCCACTTTCAAACAAGGGTGCTACAGCCATAGCAGCTGCATGGAAGCTCAGCCATAATGGCTTGGTGGGACTTATTAGTATATGTAAGTAACAACAACAGCGTCAATATGGACGTGCAGCAAAAGGTGCTTTAGAGTGGGATCGCAGCACCTCCTTCAAATCTTTGCACTCCTGCACATTGTGAGCCCCCGTTTTGAGTTATTACAGAAGCAGCCCTGCAAAGTAACATGAGGAGGCTGGAAGAGCACTGACATGTTCCTTTCACAGTGAGGTTAAGGGGTCAGGAAAAAACAGTGGGCCATATCTGCACTGATGTTGCCCTGAAGTTTCTTTGGAAGTGTATTCAGTGAGTCTGGCAAACCCACCGTATGGAACCAGCGTAAAAGAACATCCAGTCCTAGGAGAATCATGGGGACATACGAGCCTTGAGGCTATTTCCCTTGGCATCAAGGGTAAAACAATCATTTCTAATCCCATATGACTAACCTTTGTATATAATTTTTTGTTTCCCTCGCTCTCTCTCTCTCTCCCCCGTTTTCAAGGAGATGTTTACAAGCTGTTACTTAGATATTACAATGAGGAATGCAGGTGTTGTTCTACTTCAAGACCGGAAGTCAAGCTCTACTCTTTCATCTACAATGTAGTTGAATCCTACATAAATGCTACTGATGATGAGAAACTGTGTTTTGATGATTAGAATGAACACCTACAGAATGAATGTGCGTTTTCTTTTTCCTATAAAATATCAGTTGAATTGCTGGATATAATATATAGGTTATCTGAAGACCAAGACCAATATTTGAAAAGAAATGTGTTTTCTTTCTGAAGCAGAAAGTAAACTTGATCATAACATACAGAGCATAATACATTTCTCTTCCCTCCCAAGAAATCAGGGTTGGCGGTTGACTTACATTCCTTATAGGATTGTCTGAAAATACATTTACACATGCCCGCCTTTTTATTTTTATAATTGTCTCAGTGTGCACATGCATTTATGTAAGGATGCACACTTGCATAGTCACACATTTCCCATATGAATAAATGATTTCTTTATCACACTCTGCAGCAGTATAATTTTATGGAGTGGTTGTGGAGGGGAAAAAAATGGAAAACAGGTTTTTTTGCATTACATATAATTCAAGTCATCCTGATTTTTTTTTTAATTTAAGTTTTACTTTTTCAAACACCCTCTTTTTTCTATATTAGCAAAAGATCTGAAATAGGCAAGTACTGACGAGATATACTAATAAGTCATCAGAGCTCTACTCTGAATGGAAAGAGGGTGGGGGACAGAACAGGAGCAGAGGATGGAAAAGGCAGTGATTATTGAGGCTGCAAAAGAGCCAATATCGGTTTTAGAAAAGGTAAAGAGACTTTTTGATATATTCTTACATTTTAAAATATATAGCAAGGGCCATATATTTATGAAATAATTAAACAGTTTTTTAAATAAAGTTTTAATTGCACAAAGTTCTTTGATGGATTTTGTGATACTGCTCGGAGGCAGATAGAGAAATATACATATATATTATTTAATGTACGATAAAATCCTAGACTGTTACACTTGGGGGGGTTCATTATATAAAATAAAACCTCTGTACAGCATGCATTGGGAATGGTTGGGAAGGTCATTAAAGTGATCTTTGACAAAATATAGATCAGGGCGTAAGTTTCACTGAACGGAATTGAAGATGTGTGTTCTTTTATAGCCTTCTTTTCAGTGAGCTCTCAGAAAATTTCCTGCTGGGGTAAAAAGAAAGGAAAGGAAAATGGCAAGATACTTGTTGCTTACTGTGAATTTGGCAAGAGAGGACAAAGGAAATTATTCGTCGGGAGATGTAGTGCAAAATGCATTGTAACCAGTTCAGAAGTGGTGATGATGGTGATGATTATGAGAGGCAAAGCAGCGTTAAGAAGATTTGGTTGCTTAGTGATGAATGGAGCCAGACTGACCAACTTCAGAGTGAAACAGCTCAGGGCGGAGAGGTTAATAGGAACTGTTTGGCTCCAGCTACTTCCTAATTGAAGACAACTGCTCAAGACACCAAGCTTGAGAAGATCATTCTAGGGCAGGTCAATACTTTCTCGTCATGTCTTCTGCCATTGTTCAGTACTGCCCTTCCCACCAGTATGGAATATGCTATCCACAGGGAGCTTCTCTTTGCAGTCCTCTGAACAATGAGAGAGGTGATGGGCTAGTTGTTCAATAAACGGGCAAGTGTGGCCATAACCACTGCTTTTCTCTCTCGGCCAATCCTTTGGTCACCCATGACTGTACGATAATTTATGAAAGGTCACCGTATGCCATTCATTCTTTAAACTTGCAGGTTGTGCAGTTTATTCTTTTCTTTTACTGGAGCAATGGGGAATATTGATATGTTATGTATTCATGATGTCTTTTGGTAATAAAAAATAATAAAATTGATGAACATTTTTCTCGCCTCTGCCTTTGGGTATGTTCATTTGAAGTATCTCGACATAGTTTTTGGACAACAAGTTGTCCAGCCTCACAACCTACCATATTGTCTGCATAGTCTAAGTTATATGTATTCCATACTTCACGTAAACGTCTGCGGCCAAATATTCCAGGTTCTGATTTTTTAAAAACTGCAGAGCTCTTTTTTTTTTCCCCCCTAAATGTATGTTACATAAAGTAAACGAATATCCACATCTCCTTTTATATTGCAGAACTTTCAGAGTGAGATTTGGTACAATAAGTTTACTATGAAATATTGTCTTAAGAAGGTTGTTTAATTTTTGCTCAGTTCCCCCCCCCCCCTTTTTGGCTTGTTTGGTTTGTGGAAAGAAGGGGAAAGGGGGGCATCTCATTCCATCAGCTCTCTTACCTGTATGTTTCTTCTTTGTATTGCCAACAGACTTTCATGGCATTTTCATAGCTACAAGGGATGGAAACGCATTCTTAAAAAATGGAAGTTGATACTTTCACTCTGTGCCGCATTCGATGCTCCTGAGAACTGGAGAGTATCCCTTCAGTCTGGAGAACCCTAGGCTTTCTAACGCACGTTACCCAAATACATCCCTGCGCAAGCACAGGTTGGCAGCAAAATGCATGAGTTTATTAAGAACATAAAACAGCGAAGAAATACGCAGGAGGAGGTGGGATTAGCTTCAAGAAGACCATGTGAACAAAGGAACACCTAAGGCAGCAATTAGGCTTCCAACTAGTTTTGAAGGAAACCAGGTGAGGCTTCAGCACATATAAAATTCAGACAGCAACACCACTCTCTAGTTTCTTACCATCCCTAAAAGACTCTGTGGGCAAGAGTCCTCCTTGTATCCTGGAGGATTTCACACCAGGTTTTGGGAGGCTCAGATTCCTTTCTCTGCAGCTGCTGTCTGGGGAAACTTCAAAAGAGCCTTCGCCGCCACCTCATTTAACCTCAGTTGTATTTTCTCAGGGCATTCGCCAATTGGCCTCATAGACTTTAAATTACTAGAGGTTCAAAGGGATTAGCCTGCAAGTCAATTGTGGGTGTATTCTGATCTAAGTGGGTATCTGTAGAAGTTGACGTTCCCAGAATCGTGTTTTATAAAGTTTAAGCAACATACATGTCTAACCAAGTTTACCACTGACCTATCTCAGTGTTGTGCAAATGCAGCCATGATGTCTTCACCTGATCTGCTTAGAAGTGTGGGTGTAAGCCAGTGTTGTCCAAACTTGGCCACTTTAAGATGAGTGGACAAATTCTGGGAGTTAAAGTCCACTCATCTTAAAGTGGCCAAGTTTGGACAACACTGGTGTAAGCATTCCAGTGTAGAGCTAAGTGAAGCAATAATTTCAGTATAAAGTAGCTTCCTGTATTTGTATTTTAAAATGTGATGAATTAACTGGTAAGATGAATTTGGAAGGCCAAACTAAGGGGAGGCTGCACTGAAAACCCTATGCCAATAAGAGCATCTTTTATGGTGAAGATCCTGCATTTTCCTTTTGGAATATTTTAGCTGCAAATACTAAACTTATCCACATGGGTTAACTAGGAGCAAAAAATAAAATAACTCTGCTGCATCGATTCAAACTATCTTAGCTGGGGTGGTCCAGGCCTGGTGGTACAGTGACACGTACATGCATATTGTGTAATCCTAGCCTATTTCATTAGTTTATGGTTTACTGCATTCTGCACACCCAGAAAACGGGCTATATGCTGATCTACTTAAGCATGTTTGGGATGTAACCATTGTCTGTACTGAGCTGACGATCGCTTTTCTGGGAACTGGACAGTAAGTCTGCTTGGAGAAGCTACAGACTGATAATGCCAATGCTCAGCCAAAGAACTGTGTTCTGACTTGCCATCCTGAAGAGATTTCTCCTTAAGACCAAGATGATTCTGCTAAATTGCTTTATTTAACCTTCATCTGCTGAAAAAGGTAGAGTGCCTTTGGGACACTTGCTGTGAAAGGCAGACAGTTTGATCCCCAAACCCTGACTCAGGCAAAGGTTTAGTATCGCATTATCCTCTCCAAATATTGTAATAATGAGAACCCTTCTAATAGCTCATTACCAGTTGTTCTGCCCACCCCAAAGCAACTGTTGGTACCACGGCGTGTATATACTTTTTCTCCTTAAACTCTGGGCAGTTGTTATGGGCAAACACAACATTAAGATGATAAATGCACCATTCTTTCTCAGATCTCTGTGGTCCCTTGTTTTCAAATTGACTGGTGAAAAGAGGATAAATCCAGTGTTCTCCTGGGTACTTAATTTTTGGTATAACCTATACAAAGTTTTATGCAGAAAAAACACCCTTGAGGCTAAAAAAAACACAAAGTGCTTCAGTGTCTTTCAAACTGCTCTACAGTTTAATTGAACACCAACTTTTTGTCTTCACTTATTGCTCATGAATCGACTTTTCGCTGTAGTGTCTATCTCAATCATTGTACTTACTTTTTTTTTCAACCTCAGAGACAGGTTGAAATGTGTGTTACCCCCACCCACTTGCAGCTCCATCAACAGCAGGGAATTTCAATCTTCCTTGTTTCTGACCTTTTTAAATCTCTCTCCCACTTCCCAAGGGGGAATACCATTGTTTAGAAACAAAGGTGTTGAGTTGAATGAGGGATATGATTCTTCAGGAGTTTTTTAAATTATTAAAAGAAGCATCTGTTCCTTAGAAACACCGACTCTTGTGGGAAAGTGTTACAGCAAGGAAAGACTTGTGGGGACTGCTAAGTCACACTGTTCTACCAATAGAAGAGAATGTTTGTAGCTCAGGGTTGCACTGGGGTTCTCTGAGCTTGGCCGTTTTTGGGCAGATGTTTTGTTACCTGCCCTGTCAGTGTTGGTGGGGGTGTTGTTTTCCCCTTTGTATTTCCTTGGTAGGCTGTTGTTTACTGCTTGACTATCTGTCTGAGTTGGTAGTTCTTAGGGTTCTTCACTAGGGTATCTGGGTTCAGCACACAGATAAGTAGGGATTAACACCAGGATCAACACCAGACAAACAACCAAGCAGTAAGCAACAGCCTAATCAAGGAACTACCACGGAGAAACCACACCCCCACCAACCCTGACAGGGCAAGCTACCGTATATAAACAGAGAGCAAACCCCACTTCCTTCTAGCACTGAAGAAGTGACCTAGCCAGGTAAGGAAATGTCTCCAAGAAAATAGCCAAGCTCAGAGAACCCCAAGGACTCCATATTATGCTGTTCTCACTTCATGAGTGTTGTATTTTACTTTCTGTTGCTTTATGGAAAACCAAGGTAGGTAAAGGTTTTCAACCAAAGACTGAATTTCAATCTGGGAATTGAGGGGGCAGGAGGGGCTATTCCAGTGGCATCTTCTGCTGTTAAAATTGTCCATCTGGATGGCAATAACTAGCCACTCTTGGCAAATTTCAAAAAAGCTAAGCCAAGTTGGATCAGGCTGATACTTAGACTAGACCAGAAGATCAAAATGACATCCCATTTATCTGTGCTTTTAAATTATCAAAAGTATCTATAATTTTTAACATGCAATTTCCTTGAGGAAGACCTTTTATTAAAAAATTACTCATACAGTATTTTAGTTTTTCTTTTAAGGCAATTAACACCACATGCAGCTCTACCTTCCTTGATTTCTGATGCTCCTTCTTTTAAACACATCATTGTGTTGATCCTCCTCATTATCATCATCCCAAAATCAGAAAGCAGAAAAATAATGAGGAAGTCAGGAGAGAAACCAGCATTTTGAAAGTTTACCGAACATCAGTGATATGCAAAAATAAGTAGAAACTAGAAGGCAGGAACATCCAGAGGCAGGAAATGTGTGTTTCAAAACCTGTGGTACCCTTTCTAAGAATAAAAAAAGCAAGAGAAAAAAAACAACAAATTAATCTGTCAGTACAAATATTGACAGATCATGTTGTCTACAGTAAACAGTTAATATTACAATATATAACACATGTATTATGATAGACATTATATACATAATGTGTACAATGTATGTTTAAACTGGAAAAGGAAAAGCAAATCATGCAAAGTTATTTCCTAAACAAAATACCTTGAAGTCAGTGCAAAATACCTTTGTATTGTTGTCAGGAAAACTGCAGTAAATGTCCATACGTGAACTCTAGGACATTTGAGCAATTTTCCCCAAAGTTCTCTTCCTTGTTTCTGTGACCAAAGAAGACTCATTCAGACATTTGCAAAGAATCCACTGATGCAAATTGGAGGGTTGATCCATAGTTACTCTTTTGCCTATGCTTCCTAGACAATCAACCCATAATTTTTCATAAACTAAATTCAAATACTGGGGTCACTGTGAAAACCCAACAGAAGTCCTTCACGAGCAAACACTTTAAACACACATGGACAACCTTGTATATTTTAGACCAAAATGTAGTAAGTTAATGTTCCAGCTCCTTGAGGGTATTTCCAACAAGTCAGATGACTTTCTAAGTTTCAAAAGCAAGAGGGAATAATGACATAAAAGAATTGTTGAACACAGGACAAGGGGTTCTCCTTTCCTAGTAGACATTTCCCAAATCATGGCTATTGATCTTCAACCATTTTGTAACTCCAAGGTCTTGGTTCTTGAGATGAGAGTGTTAATATACTGTAAAACAACAGTCAGAAAATGCCATAGGAGCCTTAATCTTTACCACCCAGTTAGTTTCCACCTTCCATGTTTTTGGGATGCAACCATTGTCTGTATTGAATTAAAAATTACTTTTCTGGGAATGAAATAGGCTAAGATTCAATGAGTGTCTGGAAAGAGTTAAAGTATCCCTGTGACTGCCTATCTTTCCAAACATACTTAACGTTTTTAACGAATTGGCACAATTTATAAAACATGGTGAAATATCAGCTGCTGTAGTTTTCTGACATCCCCTCCACTAAGCTAGCTTCATATTTATGGTCTTGTTATGTTTCCAGCCTATCCCTTGTAAATTTATCATTGCTTAAGTGAATGCAACCTATGAGCTGTACATGAAAC